CTAAACTGGAGACCAGTTGTGCTATATTTCATTCACAGGCGGCCTCGCACTGCAGTCCTTTGCCCTAAACACTCCTGGACAGTCAGTTAAGAGCCAGCCCCGGTTTGAGCTGGCTACCTCTGGCCTCCAGCTCTCTTCCTCTCTCTGGGATACATTTGAATAGCTTTAAAACAGAAGCTTGGAAACATATGATTTTGGCATCCAGTCCAACTGCTCTGACTACCTCTGGTATTTTATGTTCTAGTCAACTGACTTCATGTTTTTTAAATCCTCATATACATACTGGTGTGCAGTGATCTGACGGGCCTTACGGAACAACTTTGATTTTTCCATTTGCTCAAAAATCTTAACAGGTTGATCACATCAGAGTAAGCTGTGGGTCCCTCCCTCTTCTCCTCCTTCACAGAAATATTACCACAACTTGCTAGTTCTTCTGGAAATAGCCACTTGCCATAGCAATAAATTTTAGGTTCACTATATAACCCCTGATGCATTTCACATTTTCCCACCAAATTCCACTATCCAAATTTGGAGTCCCAACTTGACCACAAGCAGATACAATTTCACTCTGTGGGATTTTCCCAGCTTTTCCTTGCATTAGGATTGCAAAGCTTGTAACACCAGCTGTGTCTGAGCCAGCCCTCCAAAAAAGGCAATTGTGTTCCCTGATGGAATTGCTGCACACAAGGGCTGCTGCCAGCTCTGCTCCTTGAGTGGCCTTTTCAGGATTCTGGGGCTGCTTCCAGCCCCTCCTCCCCACTCACCAGTTAATGATGTAGGTCCCTCAAACAGCCCACGGTCCTTTAAAAGGCCTAGGAAAGGAACGGGAAAAAATAATGCATACTCTTCCCCTCTCATTCTCTGGGACTCTGTTTTTATTTTCTTCATCACCAAGGTCTTATCAATCTTTTATTTATTTCATCAATACACATTTATAAATTACCAACCTTGTCCTTGGCATTTATGTTAGGGGTTGGAGAAAATAACCTTAAATAAGGCAGGTACTATTTCTACAAGGACTCATAAAACAACAGGAAACTGAAAATAGGATGATAATAATACCAGTCCACAATCCCTTATACAAAATCTTTGAGGCAAGAGAAGTTTTAGAATTCAGACATGCTCAGACCTTCGAGGTATGACAAGATATATATAGGTTGAACGTTTCACAGAATCTCATCATCAAATTTAACTTATATAAGACAAGTAGCCTTACATCACCTCAGGTCAGATTTTGCCTCCAAAATTCATTTTGACATCCAACTTTCTATTTTGGATTTTGGATTTTGGAACTGCAGAGATGGGATTTGGACCCTGAATGGTTTTCATTTATTGAGTGTCTACCATGTTTCAGGCAACTGGCATGTCTTAGCTCCTCTTTATCTCCCAAAAAGCCCTTCAAAATAAACTAGTATTTTGATTGTTACTAAACACCCTATCTGCTAAACTTCTTTTCACACAGACTCTCTTTCGTGAGCATTATTAACGATGCAGCAGTAGGTTATTCTACTTTAAGGAAAGGAAGCTGAGGTTCATGGAGGTTAAGTAACTCTCAGAAGGTTGTGGAGAATGTGAGTGGTAGGCTGGGACCCACGTCTGCTGGTGCTGCCGGAAGCTCTACTGTTTCCATGATGTAAAACAGCTGCCTTTCTTGGCAGTCACTTTGATTCCATTGAACACCCTCCCTGCCCTTTCCACTTTTGGTTCCAAAGCCTTGCTAGTTTCTATGAGAGGTTCTACAATATGAAAATAAGTCCCACCTCACAGATTTGTTCCATGTACCATAACCATATTTGCACTGAATTTCTCTCTTTCAATGCAAATAAATTTCAGAATCAGACTTTTCCAGGGTTGAACTTAATTCCTGACTTTGATATGGGCTTGGAAAAGTCACTTCACCTCTCCAGGAGTGTTTTCCCATGCTTGAAATTGGGGGGAAGGGTAAAGTCCACAATCATTAGCATTATTGTGGGGATAAAATAAGCTAATTTGTGTAAAGTGTTCAACGTGATACCTGGGAAAACATTAGTGCTTGACAAAGAGTAGCTATTACTGTGGTAATTGTTATGACTTTTGTTATCAACATTATTGAAAATGTATTGCTTGAGCAAAATCTGGCCTAAGTAGAAAACGAAGTGAATTTGATGCAGTGGTGTAGAGAAATCTATTACATTGTCATTACCTGGCAAGCCCAGAGTTTTCTGAAGAAAGCTGATCATATGATCTACAACACTGAACAAAACCCAGTGCCCCAAGAATAGGAACTCGACCCATAAACTATCACCTAAGGTGGCTTCTGGCTTCTGAGTTCTCTTACTACAAAGCACTTGCCCACAAGAAATAATAGTAATTTACTGAGTTAATATAGAAGTCTTTTTATTTATTTATTTTTTCAACTTTTATTTTAGACTCAGGGGGCATGTGTGTAGGTTTGTTACCTGGGTATATCGCATGCTGAGGTTTAGGATATGAATGATCCCATCACCCAGGTACTGAGCACAGTACCCAATAGTTAGTTTCTTAATCCTTGACCCCCACGCTGCCACCTCTAGTAGTCCCTAGTGTCTACTGTTGCCATCTTTATGTCCATGAGCAGGCAAGGTTTTACTCCCATTTATAAGTGAGAACATACAGTATTTCGTTTTCTGTTTCTGCATTAACTTGCTCAGGAGAATGGCCACCAGCTACACCCATATGGGTGCAAAGGACATGATTGTATTCTTTTTTATGGCTGCATAGCCTTCTATGGTGTATATGTACCACATTTTCAAGAAACTCTTTTTAAAGGGAAATTGGATGTGAAATACGTAAAACACCAGTTGGCCCCATAATTTAAAGTCAACATACATGCTAGACAGGAAGCAGACCTATGGGGCAGCAAATCCAGAACCTGTAAGAGGGTAGAGAATAGACATAATGGTGACAGAAGGAGAAGAAGAGCATTTGTAGGAGCAGGAGCAATAGTTGCAGAAGGAGAAAGAACTTCAGTCAGGTCATCAAAATGCCAGAGCAGAGAATTGAACTCCAAAGTCTGTGCTCTTGACCTCTACAATAAGGGCCACAGATACTCATGCTTCTGGGCTAGTCAAGTAATAAAAATGAGGGGTAAGTGCCTGAGGAAGGCTATGTCAAAGTGGAGTGGAGTGTGCACAGCCTTTCAAAAGGGGGCAGGCACCAGTGTATTTTGATAAATGGTACTCTGTGGGAACATTAGCCAAATTTATCAGGTCTTCTGACTTTTCAAGAGAAGCCAGGAATTCAGCTATCCATGGGAAAAGTCCAGTGTTTTCATGTTTAAAACTAATTTGGTTTTTTTTAATCACTGTGCAGGCAAAAATACATACACACACACACACACACACACACACATTGTTTTGGGGTTAGATTTAGACCTTCAGTTTGAGAATACTGCCTTATACTATATCAGCTGTAAGACAAGAAAGATTTTTGCTGCAATGCCCATACTCCCTTCTGTAACATATGTAAACAAGAAAGAAGATGTGCTATCAATGAGAAAATATCCCAGAGTTCCAGTTGAAGGCAATTTCTGAAAGAACAATCCAAAGGAGATGTTTCATCAAATGGCCCAAGCCATTTATAAATCCAAAAGGAGACAGGTGTGTGTTTCTGGTCAAGTTACAGTAATAGAGACTAGATTTACCTTCCCTTTAAAACAACTAAAAAGATAACATTTAAAACACATGAAACATTTTTTGAGACATTGAACCTAAGTCTCACCTCATTTATTTACTTTCTCTTACAGATCTCTGTCCAATGCAGGGAAAGTGATCTGTAAGAGAAGGTAAATGAGTGAGGTGAGCCCTCTGACTGCCCCAGCTGACAGCACAAAGAGTTTCTAGGCCACAGGGAGAGGAATCCCCATGGAGCCAGGTGGTCTCACTGAGTTGAGGTGATGGAGCTGAGAATGCAGGAAACCAAAATGACTGGAATATGAAGAACAGAGCACTACAGCAGAGAGAGATACCTAACAGAGAACACCAGAGATCTAGAGTCGTTCTTGAGTCTTCAGCTGAGCACTAATCAGCACACGCGTGCAAAGAGACTTTATGAGATAGATGGGAATCAGGGAAGCACCAACAGGAATTAGAGAAAACATTCCCTGCACGACACTGGGACCAGGAATAATTCTTTCTTCCAGTAACCAAAGTGGAAAACCTCATACTTCATGGAGTATTGAGTAAAATGTTCAAAATAGCTTTGCTACATAATGAAAAATAGATAAAATGTCATTCTATCTTGCCTCTAAAAAGCTTAAAAGCAAAACTCAAAAGTATCAGACAATTTATTGGCCAAATGTATACACCTGTGAAACCATCGCCACAACAAGATAATAGGCAAAACCATTAACCCAAAAGGTTCCTCCAGCCCTCCTCCCCCCCCTGTTTTTACACTCTTCCCCTACCCCTTCCACTTTCCCCAGGAAAACAATGATCTGGTTTATCCTCATTATACAGAGTAGTTTGCATTTTTCAGAACTTTGTTGAAAGGGAATTAAACAGTATGTGCCCTTTTCTTATCTGTTTCTTTCACCCAGCCTGGTGATTTTCAGATTTATCTCTGCTGTTGCCTTTACCCATTGCTCATCCCTTTTTATTGTTCTCTAATATTATAGAGAGTGAGAGAGTATTTCCATGGTTTGGCAGGTTTGCCCTCTGAGTGTGCGGGTCTGTCAGGAACAAATTGACTCTTCAGAGGGAAGGAGCATTCTACTTCCTCAAAGCTGAAAGTCAGAGAGCATCATGTGCAGAAAGCCAGGAGGACACAGGATGAGGAGTACAAGCCAGTCATGGCTATCCACAAACAAATGCAAAAGGCCGAAGCAGCTTTCCAAGGAACAGGAGGGGAGAATTTCAAACAAATGTTTATCACTGTGTGTAGGGGGTGATCAAGAAGCAAGGATAAGAAAAAATGTTTTTGACCTTTGGGGAATGAAATTTAGAGTTTATGGTTTGGAGCACTCAGGTAAATAATAGTTACTCCTGCTCGCTTCGGCAGCACATATGCTAAAATTGAAATGAGACAGAGAAGATTACCATGGCCACTGTGTAAGGATGACATGCAAATTCATGAAGTGTTCCATATTTTTAAACCCTACAAGCCAAAAGAGAGTGGGGGCCAATTTTCAACATCCTTAAAGAAAAGAACTTTCAACCCACAATTTCACATTCAGCCAAACTAAGCTTCATAAGCGAAGGAGAAAGAAAATCCTTTATGGACAAGCAATTGCTGAGAGATTTCTTCATGACTAGGCCTGCCTTACAAGAGCTCCTGAAAGAAGCACTAAACAAGGAAAGGAACAACCAGTACCAGCCACTCCAAAAATGTACCAAATGGTAAAGACCATCAATACAATGAAGAAAATGCATCAACTAACGGGCAGAACATCCAGCTAGCATCAAAATGGCAGGATCAAATTCACACATAACAATATTAACCTTAAATGTAAATGGACTAAATGCCCCAATCAAAGACACACACTGGCAAATTGGATAAAAAGCCAAAACCCATCTGTGCGCTGTATTCAGGAAACCCATCTCACATGCAAGGACACACATAGGCTAAAAATAAAGGGATGGGGGAAGATTTATCAAGCAAATGGACAGCAAAAAAAGCAGGGGTTGCAATCCTAGTCTCTGATAAACAAACTTTAAATCAACAAAGATCAAAAGAGACAAAGAAGGGCAATACATAATGGTAAAAGGAACAATCCATCAAGAAGAACTAATGATCCTAAATATATACGCACCAGGTACATAAAGAAATTTATTAATGACCTACAAAGAGACTTAGACTACCACACAATAATAATGGGAGACTTTAACACTCCACTGTCAATATTAGATCAACGAAACAGAATATAAACAAGGATATTCAGGACTTAAACTCAGATTTGGACCAAGTAGACCTAATAGACATCTACAGAAATCTCCACCCCAAATCCACAGAATATACATTCTTCTCAACACCACATGGCACCTACTCTAAAATTGACCACATAATTGGAAGTAAATCACTCCTAAGCAAATGTAAAAGAATGGAAATCATAACAAACAGCCTCTCAGACCACAGTGCAATCAAATTAGGACTCAGAAAAAAAAAAAAAAATTAGGACTCAGAATTAAGAAACTAACTCAGCACCGCACAACTTCACGGAAACTGAGCAACTGGCTTCTGAATGCCGACTGGATAAACAATGAAATGAAGGCAGAAATAAAGGTGTTCTTTGAAACCAACAAGAACAAAGATAAAACGTACAAGAATCTCTGGGACACATTTAAAGCAGTGTCTACAGGGAAATTTATAGCAATGAATGCCCACCAGAGAAGTGAAGAAAGATCTAAAATCAATACCCTATCATCAAAATTGAAAGAGCTAGAGGAGCAAGAAAAAAAAAAAAAAAAAACTCAAAACCTAGCAGAAGACAAGAAATAACTAAGATCAGAGCAGAACTGGAGGAGATAGAGAAACAAAAAACCCTTCAAAAATCAATAAATTCAGTAGCTGGTTTTTTGAAACTATCAACAAAATAGACCATTAGCCAGGTTAATAAAAAAGAAAATGGAGAAGAATCAAATAGATGCAATAAAAAATGATAAAGGGGATATCACCACTGACTCCACAGAAATACAAACTACAATCAGAGATTACTACAAACAACTCTATGCACATAAACCAGTAAACCTGGAAGAAATGGATAAATTCCTGGACACTCTCATCCTCTGAAGCCTAAACCAGGAAGAAGTTGAAACCTTGAACAGGCCCATAACAAGGTCTGAAGTTGAGACAGCAATTAATAGCCTACCAACCAAAAAAAGTCCAGGTCCAGATGGGTTCACAGCCAAATTCTACCAGACATACAAAGAGGAGCTGGTACCACTCCTTCTGAAACTATTCCAAACAATCCAAAAAGAGGGAATCCTTCCCAAACCATTTTATGAGACCAGCATCATCCTGATACCAAAACTCGGCAGAGACTCAATAAAAAAAGAAAATGTCAGAACAATATCCATGATGAACATAAATGCAAAAATCTTCTATAAAATACTGGCAAACCTATTGCAATAGCACATCAAAAAGCTTATCCATCACGATCAAGTAGGCTTCATCCTGAGGATGCAAGTCTGGTTCAACATACGCAAGTCTGTAAACTTACTCCACCACATAAACAGAACCAAAGACAAAAATCACATGACTGTCTCAATAGATGCAGAGAAGGCCTTAAACAAAATTCAACAGCGCTTTATGCTAAAAACTCTCAATAAACTAGGTATTGAAGGAACATATCTCGAAATAATAAAAGCTATTTATGACAAACCAACAGCCAATTATCATACTGAATGGGCAAAAACTGGAAGAATTCCCTTTGAAATCCAGCACTAGACAAGAATGCCCTCTCTCACCACTCCTATTCAATATAGTATTGGAAGTTCTAGCCAGAGCAGTTAGCCAAGAGAAATAAATAAATGGTATTCGATTAGAAAAAGAGGAAGTCAAACTGTCTCTATTTGCAGACAACATGATTGTATATTTACAAGACCCTATCATCTCAGCCCAAAATCTCCTTCAAACTGATAAACAGCTTCAGCAAAGACTCAGGATACAAAATCAATGTGCAGAAATCACAAGCATTTCTATACACCAAAAACAGACTAACAGAGAGCCAAATCATGAGCGAACTCCCATTCACAACTGCTACAAAGAGAATAAAATACCTAGGAATACAACTAACAAAGGATGTTAATGACCTTTTCAAGGAGAGCAACAAAATAATGCTCAGCGAAATAAGAAAGGACACAAACAGACGGAGAAACATTCCATGCTCATGGATAGGAAGAATCAATATCGTGAAAATGGCCATACTGCCCAAAGTAATTTACAGATTCAATGCTATCCCCATCAAGCTACAAATGACCTTCTTCACAAAACTGAAAAAAACCACCTTAAACTTCAAATGGAACCAAAAGAAAGCCCACATAGCCAAGACAATCCTAAGCAAAAAGAACAAAGCCAGAGGCATCATGCTACCTGATTTCAAACTATGCTATAAGACTGCAGTAATCAAAACAGCATGGTACTGGTACCAAAACAGAGATACAGAACAATGGAACAGAATAGAGGCCTTGCAGGCAACACCACACATCTACAACCATCTGATCTTTGACAAACCTGACAAAAACAAGCAATGGGGAAAGCATTCCCTGTTTAATAAATGGTATTCAGAAAATTGGCTAGCCATGTGCAGAAAGCAGAAACTGGACCCCTTCCTGACACCTTCCACTAAAATTAACTCCAGATGGATTAACGACTTAAATATAAGATCTAACACCATAAAAACTCTAGAAGAAAATCTAGGCAAAACCATTCAGGACATAGGACTTCATGACTAAAACAGCACAAGCACTGGCAACAAAAGCCAAAATAGACAAATGGGACGTAATTAAACTCCAGAGCTTCTGCACAGCAAAAGAAACAATCATTAGAGTAAACCAGCAACCAACAGAATGGGAAAAAATTTTTGCAATCTACCCATATGACAAAGGGCTATTATCTAGAATCAACAAAAAACTGAAACAGAGTTACAAGGAAAAAAACAAACAAACACATCCAAAAGTGGGAGGAGGATATGAACAGACACTTTTCAAAAGAAGACATATATAAGGCCAACAAACATATGAAAAAATGCTCATCATCACTGATTATTAGAGAAATGTAAATCAAAACAACATTGAGATACCACCTCACACCAGTTAGAAAGGCTATCATTAGAAAAGCTGGGGACAACAGATGCTGGAGAGGATGTGGAGAAATAGGAACACTCTTACACTGTTGTTGGGAGTGTAAACTGGTTCAACCATTGTGGAATACAGTTTGGTGCTTCCTCAAGGACCGAGAAATAGAAATTCCATTTGATCCAGCAATCCCATTACTGGGTATATACCCAAAGGATTATAAATCATTCTATTATAAAGACACATGCACACATACGTTCATAATGGCAAAATATGTTTACAATACCAAAAACCTGGAACCAACCCAAATGACCATCAATGATAGGCTGGACAGGGAAAATGTGGTACATATACACCATGGAATACTATGCAGCCATAAAAAATGGTGAATTCACGTCCTTTGTAGGGATGTGGATGAATCTGGAAACCATCATTCTCAGCAAATTGACCCAAGAACAGAAAATCAAACACCACATGTTCTCACTCATAGGTGGGTGTTGAGCAATGAGAACACATGGACACAGGGAGGGGAGCATCACACACTGGGGTCTGTTGGGGTGCCAAGGGAGGGACAGCGGGGGTGTTGGGTGGTTGGGAGGGATAACATGAGGAGAAATACCAGATGTAAGTGACGGGGGAATGGAGGGAGCAAACTGCATTGCCATGTGTGTACCTATGCAACAAGCCTGCATGATCTGCACATGCACCCCAGAACCTAAAGTACAATAATAAATAAATTAATAAATAAATAATAGTTACTCAATCTGGAACCCAGTTGCAAGAAAATTTCACCTGCTGTCTCTGACTGTATTTTTTATATATATACATATATTTCATATATATTATACATTATATGTTTTATATATAACATAATAAATGTATATATTATATGTAGTATATAAATCACATATAGTACAGATACATATATATGATATATACACATATATGTATATATACATACATATATGTATATACATGTGTATATGTACATGTATATACATATATGTATATACATGTATGTGTATATATGTATTCTATATATAGTATACATATTATATACATAATATGTAAACATATAAATAATATAGTATACATTTTATGTATATTATTATATATTCTATATATATTATCTATGGAATACTGTATGTAATAGATATCATATAATATATATCATGTAAATAGTACATATTATATACTGATACTCTATATCAATATATAGTAGATATACATATATTGCACATACTGTATATAATACATATTACACATACAATATATATAATACATCTATTCATATAGTATTATAGATATAAAATAACTGGAGAACTGGTTGAGAATGATTGTGAGGTTGCACAGAGAT